ATCCTGTCTTTATTAGTTTCAGTGAACTGGGGAGGCAGGCTGGGAGGGCGTGAGGGAGAACTGGGAATGCTGGCAGAAAATACTTGGTAGGGAGGGGGAGGAAACCAAGTGCGAAAGCAGGGATTTGGGAGGAATTTAATGGCAGAGACTTAGGCCCCGTGAATGGAAATGGGGATGTGAAGAGATGATGAGGCAGGAGACATATTGAAGGGTTATAACATCTCACAGGAGGAGAGACGGAGGGACAAAAGGAAAAAAGTGGTCATGGGGAAAAGCAATGGACCTGAGAAAGACTCTGTATTAAGCTTTATGTATAGAGTTAAATAACTACCTTAAGATTGTGGGTGGGATATGGATAGACTGGAGTTTACCCGATCAAACAGATGTCCACATTTAAGGGACAGGCTGCTCTCCTTTCATAAGCTTACTACTGCCACCTACTGTTATGAGGAAGGAAAGAAAAGGCAATCTAAAGATGCACAGTATTCCTCTCAGCAGATGTTCACCTTGTTGCTCTGTGAATTGGGTAATGTTTATATGACCTTTAATTAAGAGACTATGCTAATCTCCAGGATCGTTTAATATGAGGGTAAAATGTATCAGAGCTTGTTGCCTGTGCCTCCATCTTTAATTACCTCACCTCTCTTTTTCTGTACTCCTGAACTCCCTGAATGCCATGCTTTGCAGTTTATTTATCCTTCTCATATAAGCCCATATTTGTGTCTTTTTGTGCACTTTCAGGTTGTTTGTAAGGAAGTGCAGCGCTTGCCTGCAGGTGATTGGACGTTCGGAGCTGATAATGCGTGTGCTAGGCCAGGTGTACCACCTTGGCTGCTTCACCTGCTGTGAGTGTGAACGCCGGCTGCAGAGAGGTGATGAGTTTGTGCTTAAAGAAGGCCAGCTGCTCTGCCGCATGGACTATGAGAAGGAGAGAGAAATGCTGGCTGCTATTAGTCCCACACCTACTGACTCAGGTAAAGGAGGTTCTTTACAAAGCTGCTTTGCCCGGACCCCCTTTTAAATATTTTATATCTCACGTCTCAAGCTGCTCCTCTGTTCACTTACTAGTAAAATAATTCTGTAAATGAACTGGATCTCAAACAGAAGCCTATCTGAGTTGGTGAGACAACACATTTGTTTGCAAAAACATCACACCACAATAGCAAATTGTCTTAGATAGAAAATAAGTCATTATTTTACAGTGCATTCTGTGAATTCCTATGGTATATGAAGCTGAGCCCTCAGTGCACTACCTACAAAACTAGTGGATAGTTTAAGAAATCCACAGAATTGAGGTCAAAGTCACTTCAATGTTAAATGTACTCTCCATTTAATGGAATGAGAAAATGTACCCCTCTCGTACCAGATGTCCTGACTGTTTTGTTGTCTGTTACCTTGCTCAGTGAAAAGTGAGGATGAGGATGGTGGAGGAGGCTCTGGAGGAGGCAAAGGTGGGGACGACAGCAAGGACCACAAGCGTTCAAAGCGACCACGCACTATCTTGACCACACAGCAGCGGCGTGCTTTCAAGGCCTCCTTTGAAGTGTCTGCTAAGCCTTGCCGCAAGGTAGGAGGACCAGCTTGTTTTGTTGATGGAAATGTGTGTAGGAATATACTCCTTTCCCATGCAAACGTTATTGTTCTGTGGAAGATTGCATACTAATCAGTCTAAACTGGTGCTTCAATAACAATTCAAAACGAATCTGCAGGTGAGGGAGACACTGGCTGCCGAGACTGGGCTGACAGTGCGTGTTGTGCAGGTGTGGTTTCAAAACCAGAGAGCCAAGGTTAGACTTAGTGTAGACTTACACAAGGTTATACTTTTTCTGAGGACAAAGAAAAGCATTTATACATACACTGTTTTTGTGCCTTAGATGAAAAAGATAGCTCGCAGACAGCAGCAACAGCAGCAGCAGCAGCAGGAACAAGAGCAGCTGGGAGGGACCAGGAGAGGACCAAGTAGAGGGGGCCGCCAGAGCAATGACGACAGTGAGGGTAAGCGCTTGATATGCCAATGCAACATCGAGAAAAAAGGAAGAATAAACAAAACCCAAAACAATCTATTTTATGGGTTTATTAAAGTGATTCTCACCTCTGCACAGATGGCTCTAGTACCCATGGCATGGATGGGATGCTGGTATATCCCTCTCTGCCGCGTCAGCAGCTACTCGCTCTGGATCCCAACATCTACGGTGGAGAGCCATTTAGACATGGCCTCACACCGCCTCAGCTGAACAATGAACAGCTCCACTCCTATGGTAAGACTAAAGGTCAAAGCTTTGACTCCATATAAACCTTATCTAAAAATTCAAATGCTGTCCCTATCTCCTTTCAATTCTGGTTTTGACTGTCATGGGTTTAACAATACATGCCAATATTCTCAATGCAAAGTTAAAAGATTGATGCATATAATCTTTAAGATACACATTTATTTTGAAATTCACATGGCACGTCACTCTTTCTTTCCAAGACGTTTAGTTGTTTACATAAGTCTGACTAATTGTGTAAAATGTTGTATTGTTGTCCAAAGATGCATGCATATAAAAGTGTACCGTGATGAAACCTGTGATTTACCCAGCTAGTCATGAGTAGTCAAAACCGCACTTCAAGGTCATCATGTCTGAGTAGTTACAGTAAATGTCAGCCTATTTCGAAAGCTTGCATGGAGCCTTAGCAAAACAGATGCATTGCCAAATATTTTCTTCATTATTTCCTTAGATAATGTGCAGTGGGAGATAGTGAGGCAAACATTTATATTGGACTCAAACAAGTTGCATTAGCTGATGGGTGATAGAACAGATTTTGCGGGATTTCAGTTGTAAAGGTTGTGTGTTTGTGAGAATGTAAGGAAAAGGCTGAGATTAAACTACAGAGACTGACTCACTGCCTGCTTGCTTTGTGGAGTTGAGAGTAAAATTCGTGCTTATTTTTATATTCTTTTCATATCGTTCTGTGCTCTCTGGTAGTAATTGAAAACCGATCCACTTCAGCTGTTCACACAGTTTTTCTCCGCAGACTCAGAGACAGTGTTCCATGACCTGGACAGCGATGGAAGCCTTGGTCACCTTGGAGACTGCCTCTTGGCAACAGGGGACGGCAGTCTCCTGTCTGGACGGGTGGGAAACCCCATTGACCGCCTCTACTCCATGCAGAACTCCTACTTCACCTCCTGACCCCCATAAACTCTCACCCTTCCCACTCCTGTTCCACCTTCACCTCAGAGATGCAGCTAATGGAGTCCGTCTAAAACATGCCTGTGGGACTACAGCCTACACCCAAACACACTCTTAAGCTTTTTTCAAAAGCCAAAATCATCACAAGCATAGTCATAATATCACTTGAAGAAGATTTGCGTCATGTTCCAACCATCTTTCCTTGATAATAATCACATGCTGGAAATACACTGTAAATGTCCAAAATATGTAAAAAGACCTCAATTTCTCTGGTTGTGGTAATGTTCAATGAAACACGTTTGATGGCACTTTCAAAAAACAAATACGCATACTCATATGTAAATTCTGATTTACAGACAAAAATTGTTTTAGTTCAAATTACATGTATGTAGGAGTCTTGGCAGGCCGTATGAGCAGCTGAGAGTCTTAATGAAATGATGACATTGCAAAATGTTTTATGTTTCTGACAGGATTATTGTGTGTGAAAGACTGCAGCGTATACAGTACAGTATATGGATTGGAGTATCATTTTGCTCTCAGGTTAGTGTGTATGAATATTCGACCTGAGCTATAACTCAGGATATTGTGCTAGATAGGATTACAATTTAGTGTTCCCAGTAAATTCAAGGATGTACTTTGGAACGAGGACGAAACTCTATGAAAATGGTCATTTCCAAATCCATGCTTAGTTTTTGATATTGCATGATTGACAGGTATAATATTGACCAAAAAAAAAAAGACAGCACTACAGGGTCATTTGAGGAGCCTTATGCGGAAACAGGGTTGTATACATGATTATTGCTTTAGCTTTCTCTTTTATAATGTAATCACTCAGAGGCAGTGACGTTATTGACAACCAACACATCTATAACCCCCAAAAGTAAGGACACTGAGCACATGATGATGTGCTTTTAAATGTAAATGGAAGTATGACTGTGTTACAATTAATTATTGTGGTCAGTTTCAGTAATCATTTATTTCTCCGAAAAATTTGACGTTGTTAAGTTGATATTTTGTACCTTATTCTGTGATAATCAGCAACTATTTAAACTGTAGCATGATATCTATGTGTCACAAAGTAGGTCTAAAAAAATAGCCTCCAAACTGAAGTTGGATAGAAAGTGCATAAAGCATCAGGGTCAAATTTACAATGTGTCGCAGAAAAAAAGTAGGATTAGGGTTATACTTGTTTTTGTTTAGGTGCCAGTGATCAGCTACAGCTCGTTAACATTTTTTCATGTTTGACTCTGATCACTGACACATGGTATTTTTACAGTGATATTTTTGTGAATGTAATTTATTTGTGCGGTATTAGGCAAGTTCCTATTTAACTTTTTTTGTTCAGTGACTGCCAGGTGATGTGCTTTGAATGTAATGTTGCCGTATCTTCAATACACTCTACGGTTTCATCTTTGTAGTGCACTTGCCTTATTGTCCTAAGTATGATAAATTATGATGCACTAATCACTTGCTCGTCTGGTATAAACCAAATATATTTAACACACAAGAAAGGGATCCTTTTCCCCTCCCCTTCAAAGCTTTAATAATTGAACCAGAAAAGGTCTGTTCTGCTTAGTGGTCACAGGGCTCATAACTCAATATCCTCCCTCTGTCTCTCTCAGTAGTCCCGCTGATTAGAAAAGGAAAGTCTCCTCCTTCTCCTTTCTTCCCAGACTCCCTATTTCTCTGTCATTGTGTAGTCAGGACAGTTTGTGTGGGAGCGATACATTCCGGTTTAATATTTGACTCAGACTCAGACCTAGAGAGGGCAAGTGTGGGAGGGACAGACCTGAGCAACAGACAACAACAAAGGATAACCACACCGGATAAGAAACACAAGTTAATTTTAATGAGATGATTAAATAAAAATCATATATCCCGCATGTAGGCAGGAATAAATGTTGATTTCATATGAACACAACATTTACATGAGTATGAGAAAAAGGACGATCTGGTAATTAAATATTCAACACATTTTCTTTGTCAAAGTACTGTTGCATTTCTCTCATATCTTTCCTGAAGAAAGACAAATAGTCATATTAAGTCACACAGAGGTAAACAGATATCCTTACTTTCACTGTAAATACAGTACAGTAACATGGCTGGGAAATGTAAAACCAACCAATCTGAATCTGACAGAGATGGGAGATGTCTTGATGCTACGATGGCTGAGGTACCGGATCTGTAGATGAAAAGAAGAAAACATTTACTGGTATGTTGACTTTTAAAGTGATACCACTCAAAGATGGTGTAGTAGATATCGTACCATTTTGTATACATATGATAACCCATGGGTCTGTTTGAATGTGTTTTTGTATCAGACAAAAATGCACAGAACAAGACCTTAAGGAATACTTCCAAATACTATTTGGATAATCCATTAATTAAACCTCGATGTTCTCACATAACTCCAGGGTGAAGAAAAAATTAAAACGCGGATAAAACAGCCACGGTAAGTACGTACAACAAAAACATTGTTTTGAATACTAAGGTTTTGGCTCAAATGCATTGCTAAATGAGAAAAGTATTGTGCAGCTGTTGTGTGAGATTCTTCATTCACCGTGGAGGCATGCGAGAAAAACAAAGTTTTCCTTGACCTTGAGTTGTGTATGGCCAATTCCAAAGGGACTTACCCACTCCACTGATGTCTACTGACTCTGCACAGGCCAGAAAGCGAGCTACATGAGGCGAGCAGGAGGCAGGTGTGTCCGGGTTTTCTCTCAGGCAGCGCTCAAACTCGACAAACACCCCCGAACACTCTTGTCTGATCTTCTGAATCACTGGGCTAAAGAAACACATAAGAGAAATTAGGAATAAGATACAATTTTGCTTTTTAGATGTGGGTGTGAGGTTGAAGAACATTGGAGTGAATGTACAGCTATGTGGCCTTACTGGGATGATGTGCACTGTGCAACGTTTATCTTCAGTTCATGACACTTTGACTGCCATGTAGATGGGTTGGAGGCCACACATGACCCATATGCCTCCATTTCTTTATTGCAATACTTTGCTGTGATATCCATAGCAGCCTGCCTGAAAGACGACACATGTTAATCATTCAGTGATTGTAGACACGTCCCATAAGCCATCGATCAACCTGATACACTTTCTAAAGCAAGCACAAGCAATATAGTAAACGTAATTAAGTAGCTTTATGGTGGTAGAAAATGTAATTATTTACGGTCTGAATCTACCTCTCTACAGAACAGTATCTACTTCCCTAGACTAGAGAACATAGCGAATGTTTTGTTGATATGACCCATGTTTAAAAGTCTTACATGTTGTTCTTTTTAGGCTTTCCTCAACCGAGAAGCTGATGAATCAAGGTTATAGCACCAGCAGTACTGCATGTGGAGCCATGTCTGTGCCGTAACTACACTATACACACCCTCTGATTGGATGGAAATGCAACAATCGGAAATAGTTCTAAAATCTTATTGGTTCCTGCTTGTGTCAATCTCAAATGTTAGCCCACGCCCTCTGATGACGATGCATTTATTAAAGTGGTATACACCTAATATTACACTAAAAGCACTCCACGACGAATACAGCCGATATTTGATATATGTATATTATTACGTAGCGTAAACTTGAACCTCAACCACATTTTTTTTTTTTACCGTGTTGGTATAATAAATGAGTGTTTTTTACAGTTAATTTGTGATGTACTCAGACAATCTTACGTGTCTTTGGTCTTTGCGTGTTGACGTATGCGGAAGCTACGACCAGAAACCGAGCGATTCAGTAAACGGGCTCCGAAGGCTGGACCGAGCACCGCTCCGTGTGTTGAATCGTATTTTACCGACAACAGCACGACGGGGTGGTGGTGGATGATAGAGGGGGGGCAGAGGTGTGAGTAAAGTACAATGAACGACCCCAAGAAAGAGGGAAATATGGCTGCAGATGGGATCCAGGCACCGGGAGAGCTGCAAATGGCCCCCTCTGAGAACCACAGCCAGCATGACAGCAGCGCCGGCGACGAGCTGGTGAGCTCGGTGACGCTGTACCGGCGCAGGCCCCGTCTACTACACGGCACAGTCCTCCCGTTTCTGGCTGTTCTCTATCCAAGCTGGATGTACGTGTGGTTCGGAGTGTATGGAGCCTCCGAGTATCCAGAGGCAGGCCTCCTGTCGCTAGCCGCTATCGGGATCGCGCACGTCCTCACAGCGCTCTCTGGTTATTGGTCCGTGCACGCGCACTGCTTGCTCACTTGTTCCAAGGTAAACATTATTTATACAACAATAATAGTGGGGTATGTTTCAATGCTATCCACTGTTTGTAACATATCCCTTTAACATAGAATTCAAAGGTTTTCAGGGTTAGCACTAATTCAGGAATCATTGCTTGCTCAAGGGCTCTATAAAAGTAGGCAGGTGTTAGGAATGGACCCCTGCTAAATGTTTGAGGGGCCACCAATAATCAAACTTTCCCTGCTGGAATCAGCAATGACAGTTCTCACTGCCACATTTGTCTTTGTTTCAAGTTATGAAAAGGTCTTAGTGATGTGTGCACATCATTTGAAACACTTTTATTTTTGTAATTTAAAACAAAAAAAAAAATGTTCAAAGAAAAAGCTTGCCAATACAGAGAGCAGCATAAATGAAAACATATGTTACAGACAAAACAGAAAAGTAGACAAAACCAAAAGCAACTCGGAGTCAAGCATGTACGTTTATTAACCAGGAAAGGAATGTGCCTCTTATATTAATTTGGTTTAAAGCCATTTTGCAACATTTTCCATTTTTTACAATTCTGTATGGTCACCTGAAAGCATAAAGAAGCCCTGAAAGCTCATAGTGTTGCCCGGCTATTTTCTGCGTAATTGATGCAAATGATGCGAGGCAGCAGACCATAAAATGCCTTTTAAGTAGTAGAGGATTATAAAGAAAATAAAACTTGTATCAAGCAAATCTAATGTCTAATTGCTGATTCATACACATGGTGGTGTCAAAGTAAAACAAATCTGTGTCTATCATTGTATGGTAATAGGAAATGTAATTCCAGAATATGTCAGAAAATAAATGTTCTAAAGTTTAAGTTTGTTCTTCCTAAATTCAAGGGTAAACAGCTTAGCATTTCTTTGCGTTCTGTCTGTAGGCAGTCAATCATACAAATACATAAAAATAGATTTGTATCAACAATGTAATCTGGTTAGCCTGGACATTTATGGTTGTTAAATGTAAGTAGAGGATTCTTTAAAAATGGGCCTGAAGTCCATATTGTGGACAAAGCAGCAGAGGCACACAGCAAAAATAACAGTGACCTGGAACAGTGTGTGAATTTGTCACCTGTTTATTTGCACAGGAACAAGATCCAAAAAAGGCTACGCTGGCTAAGGTCGTTCCCTGCCCCAACAACGGTTCTGCCGAGCTTGTGGAACTACAGAGGGACCAGGTCAGTTTACATATTTACTCTTTATTCCAAACATCTCCCAAATCTATTGTTTTCTGTATTTTGTCACACACTTTAAGATTAAAACTTATAAATATACAATCAGTAATTACAATAATTAACCTTTCTTGATTAAATGGTGCTAATTAAAATGGTCTTTCTTTTTCTGACCTACAGGATGAAAAGGGCGAGGGGATTTTATCTTTTGAGTTTCAAAAGATCCGCTACATATTTGACCACAAAGAAAAGAAATGTTTCCTTCCGATAGCATTCCCCATAGACAACCCAATGGTTGACTTTCAGTCCTGGCGTGGCTACCAGGAGGAGGCGGAGCTCCGGGCAGCAGAAAAGCGTTTCGGCACCAATCGTGCTGAGATGATGGTGCCAGATTTCCTGGAGCTCTTCAAAGAGAGGGCCACAGCTCCCTTTTTTGTTTTCCAGGTATATATATTTTGTTGTAAAAATACTTCTCAATAAATATCTTTAGATATGATGTTACTGACCTTATAATGAAGTCTGTATCCATTTGAAGTAATCTGTGTTCTGCCATCCCCCAGGTGTTCTGTGTTGGCCTGTGGTGTCTGGATGAGTATTGGTACTACAGTGTTTTCACGCTGTTCATGCTCGTGGCGTTCGAGGCCTCTTTGGTCCAGCAGCAAATGAGGAATATGTCCGAGATTCGCCGCATGGGAAACAAGCCCTACATGATCCAGGTAGGCTAAATCACGTTTAAAACCATGTCATTATATTTAATAGAACTAAAAGTATAGACAAACAGTGTCTTCCATGTAAAGCATATCTCATTTATCTTCATGTATTTTATGCTAGGTATATCGCAATAGGAAGTGGAGACCTATTTCAAGTGATGAGCTTGTCCCTGGTGACATTGTCTCAATAGGTAATGTCCTATTAACATTTGTCAGACTTCTTGCCACAAACATCAGATTGACTCTGTTACTGAGGGTTTAAAATGTGTATTCTCCACTACACAGGACGTTCGCCCCAGGACAACTTGGTCCCGTGTGATGTGCTGCTACTCAGGGGCCGTTGCATTGTGGATGAGGCGATGCTGACCGGAGAGTCGGTGCCCCAGATGAAGGTTAGAGGCAAACTAATATATACATGATGACACTGTACAGATCTGAGGGCGTACACTTTGGAATGAAAGCCTTATTCACTCTAAATGGCATGTGGGGTATTGTAATCACTGCTGTGTTATGAGGTGTGCAGGAGCCAGTGGAGGACTTGGACCCAGAGCGAATCTTGGATGTTCAGAGTGACTCTCGACTTCACATCATCTCTGGGGGGACAAAAGTGGTCCAACATAGCCCCCCTTTAAAGGCCAGTGCTGGACTCAAACGTAATTACTAATTTCTGTCTTTTTTCAGTTATCTGTTACCAACAACATATGAAGGCTGTTGTACATTATAATGCGACTATTGCCCATCTTCTTCATAATCAAATCAAGATGAAAAGCCCATTAATCTTCTTTATGTGCAGCTGTCGACAACGGCTGTGTGGCCTATGTACTGAGAACAGGATTCTACACCTCTCAGGTAAGGAAGTTGCTGAATCAACCAATCAACAACTTTATTAATCCTGCAAGGGGCAATTGGTTATGATCAGCAGCTTATGTCATGTACACAGGCAGGAACACACAGGAAGAAAACACACAGATACACCCGGAGCACAAATGTGGATCATTCCAATTTACACTATAAATAGTTCATAGCATCACAATAATACATAAATAAATAATCAAGTTAAAAGTCTTTCAAGAATTTAAAAGTTTGAGTGCAGAAGGGATGAATGATTTTGAAAAGCGATTAGTCCTTTGAGCAGGTAGAGCATATCGACGCCCTGATGGCAACAGACGAAATTCATGTGAGAGAACATGACCTGGAGAATGTTTTACTTACTACGCACAGTTTTTTATTTCAATGCATTTCTCTAGTTTGGCGACATGTTTAATTTAGCTTTGAAAGTGTACTAACTGTGTGCAAAAAAAACTTGCCTCCAGGGTAAACTGTTGCGAACAATCCTCTTTGGTGTGAAAAGAGTGACGGCAAACAACATGGAGACTTTCATCTTCATCCTCTTCCTCCTTGTGTTTGCCATTGCTGCAGCTCTTTATGTGTGGTTAGAAGGTGAGATGCATAGAACCAATTGTATACAATGTAATTCTTATTGAACACAGAGATTCAAAGTGTTTGCAAATAGTCTGAGGTTATGGCATACTTCATATTTAAAAACTCTCTTTTTCCTTTGTATCACACCTACAGGGACCAAGGATGCTAGCAGGAACCGCTACAAGCTGTTTTTGGAGTGCACACTAATCCTTACTTCAGTTGTTCCACCAGAGCTCCCCATAGAGCTCTCTTTGGCAGTTAATACGTCTCTCATCGCCCTGGCTAAACTGTGTATGTCTGTTTGCTCCTATCCTGCATGTGTTAAAGAGCATTAAAAGACCTGGACAAAGCAGCTTATGATACAAAGCTTGTTACAGCAGTAGTTTGATTCAAATCCTCTTGTCCCCTTCTTAGATGTTTTCTGTACAGAGCCCTTCAGGATACCCTTTGCAGGGAAGGTGGAGATCTGCTGTTTTGACAAAACAGGAACACTGACCAGTGACAGCCTGGTGGTACGAGGAGTAGCAGGCCTCAGGTAAAACATGCCAACCACTGTTGTTCCTTCATCAAAACTTGTGAATTACAAACGCAGTAAACTATGCTATGGTTAAGGTTTGTAAATACTTTGTGTTTGTAAATGAGTAATAACTTTATGTCTATTACAGAGAAGGAAAAGAGGTGATACCCGTATCTGAGATTCCAATTGAGACGCATCGGGTGGTGGCCACCTGTCACTCACTGGTCACTCTGGATGATGGACAGCTGGTCGGAGATCCACTGGAGAAGGCCATGCTGACAGCCGCTGACTGGAGCCTCACTAAAGGTACTGGGATCCCCCACTAAACGCACAGTGCACGGCAGCGGCTGTAGTGTCGGAGAACATGTGTGTGCTTAGGATTGGATTGTGTTGTGCTGTGTTTAACTTGGTGATGTCATTTGACCAGAGTATGTTAATGTCAAGTTACGTTTTTAATAAGTAAAAAAAAGTCTTGATTGATCAAAGTGAATGGGGGTCGTGTTTAACAACAGCTTGACTATATGAAAATATGTGTTTACAAAACTGTAACAGTGTGAGTAATTGATATGAAACTGCTCAGCTTGTGGGTTAATGTGGCTTTAAAGTGAAGCTGTTCTTGCATTTAAATCTGGATGTTCGTGTTAAGCTACATTTGCTCTTAATAGCACTATGCGTGTCTCATTTACTCTTGCCATTTAAACAGATGAGAAGGTGTTCTCTCGGGGTTTCAAAACTCAGGGACTTAAGATCCACCAGCGTTTCCACTTTGCCAGTGCACTGAAGAGGATGTCAGTCCTGGCCTCTTATGAGAAACTCGGCTCCACTGAACTCTGCTACATCTCAACTGTCAAGGGAGCGCCAGAGACACTCAGAGGAATGGTAAATATCCTTTATACAGACATGCTCTAGTCTAATCATGTGTGCTAACCAACTGGCGTTCTAATGTGGCTTTTATTGTAGTTTTCAGAAAGTCCAGCAAATTATGACGAAGTCCACAAGGAAATGTCTCGTGAAGGGGCTCGAGTGCTGGCCTTGGGTTACAAAGAGATTGGACACCTCAGTCATCAGCAGGTTCTTATTTTTATTGTATTCTAAAACTGTCAGAGACTGTCTGGTCCGAGCAGGTTTGACTGATCTTTTTGCGTTTCATAGGTCCGGGAGATGAGTCGGGATGCTCTTGAGTGTGACTTGCATTTTGCCGGGTTCATGGTTGTGTCCTGCCCGCTTAAGAGTGACAGCAAGGCCGTCATCAGAGAGATCCAGGAGGCATCTCATCATGTAAATAAGCTGACAACACAACATTCTGCATACACTCTTAAACAGCATGGTTTATAATTGCTTTGACTTTGCTTTCAGGTGGTGATGATCACAGGCGACAACCCTCTTACGGCATGCCACGTAGCAAGAGAGCTCGCCTTCATGCAGAAAGAACACACACTTGTATTGCAGCAAAGCCCCGATCAGGGTAAGACAAGTCATCACTTTGCAGAATAACATGTTTTACTCGTCAGCTAGTGGAGAACAATGTCTGTTTTTAAAAGGTTGCATCTAAAGGGCATCACCATTTTTATTTTTGTAATCCTCATGCAATGGGTGCTTCAACCAACAACAGTACATAATAATGTACCTCTAATGTTTATTTCCAGGTGCGTGGCAGTGGGAGTCCATTGATGGCAGTGTGTGTGTACCACTGCCCCCTCCCTCCATTTCCGCCTTCGTGAGTCAGTTTGACTTGTGTGTAACAGGGGAGGGGCTCACCAGACTGAGCTGTGACACCAAACTACTCAATAGCCTCTTGCCTTACGTTCAAGTGTTTGCCCGTGTCAGTCCAAAACAGAAGGTAGGTCCCAAAAATGTACATTACATGGAGGTTTATAAACCACTACCACAATAGAGTGAGATAGCAGACCAAGTTTAGCCATCTCAAACATCATTAGTGTGCTTTTTGTTAGAATCGAAGGCTGTTATACAAAAATACTTTGAGATGTAGACAGATGTTTTTCTACAATACAACAGCAAAATACATGTATTTGAACTAGTTGACACCACTCATTTTGTGTGACTGGGAGTTGTTATATATAATTATCTCATTTTTGAATGTATGTCAGATTCTGTACAACAGTATCAAAGGGTGAACATTAAGGGTCTTTTGTTAGTCATGAGCTATAATAACCTCCTGTTCTGTTTCAGGAATTTGTCATCACAAGTCTTAAGGGGCTCGGTTATGTGACCCTGATGTGCGGTGATGGCACAAATGATGTTGGAGCTCTCAAACATGCCCACATAGGTAAGATTTATCAACCACCAAGACTGAAAGCATTTGTGTCCCTATATATGAGCCCCAACAGGTAGTGATGACCTTTTATTTCTCAGGTGTTGCTCTGTTAGCGAATGCACCTGAGCGAATGCCTGAAAGGAAGAAACGGGGGAGAGAAAAGGAGCCCGCAGCAGAACCCAGACCTTTACCACCCGTCAGCTCAGGAGGGAAGCTGAGTTCCAGAGCATCCCGGCAGAGGGTCATGGCCCAGAGAGAAGAGCAGCTTGCAGCACAAAAGGTGTGTGTCTTCAAAAAGGGCCTTCTTCCTGAACAGTCTACCAATTACTAACGGATTTATTGTACCACTGAATGCAGCATGGTGGCTTCCTCCCTAGTTACCAACATTACCAAATAAACATATAGCCTAAAAAAGAGAATACATGTGTGTCTGTTACAAATGTGTAGTTCACTGGTCTTAACATCAGGGATTTACTCACTAACAGGAGAGGATCAGTCAAGTCTTACGGGAACTTGAAGAGGATCAGATACAAGTAGTGAAGCTAGGTGATGCTTCCATTGCTGCCCCCTTCACCTCCAAACTCTCTTCCATACAGTGCAGTAAGTAACATACATTTATGATTTCAGTTTGCAAAAATCTGTGTATGTTATGGTCCCCACATCTGAATGTTTGTTTGTATCCCCCCCCAGTCTGCCATGTAATAAAGCAAGGTCGTTGCACTCTGGTAACAACACTCCAGATGTTTAAGATCCTCGCTCTGAACGCCCTGGTGCTGGCCTACAGCCAGTCTGTACTCTACCTCGAGGGGGTCAAGTTTAGCGATTTCCAGGCAACACTGCAGGGCCTGCTCTTAGCCGGATGCTTCCTCTTCATCTCTAGATCGAAGGTGAGAATTTATGTTGGAAAATACAGGCTCTACATACTTGGGACTGATTGTGATTCAAGCAAGTGTGTCTTTACTGAATGTTCCTTTCTACCGTGACAGATTCACTTTTTTACCCCCCTCTGTTTATATAGCCACTGAAAACGTTGTCTCGAGAGCGGCCCTTACCAAACATCTTTAATCTTTATACGGTGTTGACTGTGCTGCTGCAGTTTGCTGTTCACTTCTGTAGTCTGGTGTTTCTCTACAAAGAGGCACAAAGCAGAAGTCCCCCAAGGTAAACCCAACTAAGACAGAGAAACAGCAGTTAAATATTTACAATAGTCACATGACATTTATAAATGATAATGACATTTCCCTTGTCCTTTTTTCCCCCGCAGATCGGAGCGGTTTGCAGATATATATAAAGAGTTTGAACCTAGTCTAATCAACAGCACCGTGTACATAATGTCGATGGCCATGCAGATGGCCACGTTTGCCATTAACTACAAGGTACTTATTCTTAATACAATTGGTATTTACTGTCACTACATTCTTTTATGTAAACTCATGGCATTTCTTGTTGTGTTTGTAAGGGTCATCCCTTCATGGAGTCTCTCACCGAGAATCGACCACTGCTATGGAGTATCGCACTGTCAGGATTAGCGATTGTGGGACTTCTTTCTGGTTCCTCACCCGAATTCAACGAACAGTTTTCTCTTGTAGATATACCAACTGAGGTGAGTGATTAAACATCAACCGTTATGTTAAAGTTGCCTCCTAATGATGATGTTCTTCATGAGGTAACCTTCTTCCTGTTTACTTCTTTGTAGTTCAAATTCATCATTGCCCAGGTTCTGGTGGTGGACTTTGTCGCCGCGCTGCTGGTGGATCGTATCCTGCAGTTCCTGTTGGGCAAAGGATCTCTCAGGCTGCCTTCTTGAAGTGCCAAAAGCTACCGTTACCCTTACCAACTAAACTGTAAAGGGAGAGAAGACTCTGGAGCAGGAGGATAAGAGCTGTTGTGATACAAGACAGCTGAGACACTCATGGCCTGCAGTACTGTACACTCTGTGCATCCCTTCCTTCTTCCAATTCTCTCATTTCTTTATAACTCTTTTCTACATTTCTCTCTCTTTCCTCCTCTGTTCCTCCCTGCTGCTACACAAGGCCATGAAGACAGCAGTATTGAGTGGAGTGCGAGAGTGAGAGCGCGAGACTGTGTGCCATCCAGAGTGAAGAGTACAGGCACACAATGGGGCATTCTCCCAGAGAACTGCAAAAGTGTTTTTGATTCTTTTGAATACTCTCTTTGATTTTGTAAAAAGTGCAAAACATCTCTAACAGACTTATAAAGACTTACAGATACAAATGTTGAAGTCTGTCAAATGTTTTGTTGGGTACAAAAACTGATGTGTGTCTTCACTTGGAGGGGATGTGCATGCTGTTCAAGAACTATCCTGTTCTTATAAGTTGGTAAGTAAAGAATGATCCTAGTATGAGAATATAGTGTAACTGAACAAAGAGGACAGTTCTTATTAAACCTTGTATCATCATATGACACATGACTCGGGACAAAGACAATTGTGCCATCTCTTTAAGAATCAGTTGATGGAAGACAATCTTGTACCTTTGGTGTTAACTTGCAAAAACCGATCTTAACTCGCTCACATGCCAATCTCAGGAGATTAGACATTGATAACTGTTTGATATTTATCTTTGATAAACAAACTAGAATATCTTAAATAAATCACTTTCCCCCCCTAAAAATATCTGAATAGAAATCCAATCCAACTGCATGTTTTTTATTGATTGAAAACTCATGGATACAGACATATGTGGCCTAATGATTGCAAATAAATGCAAATGTGTAGTTATACCACAACTGGACAAGAAGGACAAACTTCTTTTTTGGGGGAGATTTCAGGTCTTTTCAATTTTCTATGATAATGAAAATGTTACAGTTTCTCTTGCAAGTCTCATTTAATTTCAATAGCTTTCTTCTGATGCGACCGAATTACTCAAAATATATGCAGCATTGTATTACTCCACTAGACGATAAGGCCACACCTCTTTTTGGGGGGGGTTAAAGTGTGTTTTCTAATTTAGCAGTTTTTTTTAATTGAAAAAGTCAAGATTATTTTCAATACCTTCCATGTCAAAATAAGGTTATAGTCTATCGGAGGGTTTATCATAATTAGAATCTTAAACACGTTCAAAGATCCAAAAAGCAATAAAAGACATTTTACATGGACTATAAATGACCAGGTGTGATGATTATCATAATGATTATTATTATTATTATTATTATTATTATTACCTAATACTTCATATAAATGCCATAACCATAGGGGCTTTTTTCCCTTTTGGTGGGGCATTAAAACTCATGGAATTTGAAGCCTTTACGGTGGTGTGAAAATCGTCAATGTGTAATATGATGTACATGTATTTTAATCGTATCACAATAATCGGACCTCCATATATTGTCATTCAATTCTACTGTTTTTAAAGTATTCAACGACTGCTGCTCCCACCTTTACCTCGGCATTTTGTTTGTAGTCGCTTGAGTTAATTCACACTACATTTCCCATGGTGCTTGTGTTATAAGAGGGGCTTGGCTTCTTGGACGCGCGATCAGCGCGCGATGAAAAGTGAACTATTTGAAAGAAAAATGGCGGAAAAACATACTGGAGCTGCACAAGACAGGTTTGTAATGTTATTTACTTTTACCCTTGAGACAAACAATTTAAGATCTAAAGTATTGTGTATCCAAAACATGTACTGATGGGTAATCGCTGTCTTCATTAAAAAGCTAAATAAAATGTATGTTATCGTTGTGAAACGCCGAAGTAACGTTAGCAACATTTTATATTTTAGGATTAAAATTAAAGTTTTTTTTTCCATTAACGTTGGTTTATACATTGAAAATGTGTTTTTACAGTTGCTGCACTGTCGCCGTTGCTGGTGATTTTCCAGATGAGGTAAGGCATTTTAACTACCATTTAATCTAACGTAAACGGACATCGCTTGAGCTAATTCTATATCCACGCGCTGAGCGTGATATCATATAATATATATATTATATCACGGGCATTATATCAAGTACTTCTCATATATGAGAAGTACTTAGATCTTGTACTTAACTCAAAGTAGAAATACCATAGTGTAGGAATACACAGTTTCAAGTAAAAGTCCTGCATTCAAAAATATATAGTATATGTTAATTCATTAATCGATATTTTTATTACAGCTGGTTAAGATGGAACCCGTTTTATTTACATTGCATGCTGCTGGGTAGCTTGTGGATTTACAAAGTTTAAAGTCTTATTGAAGTGTTGGTTATATTTCATATAATTAATCAGAATCTGCAACGTAACTGATGGTATTAAATACATGTAGTGGAGTAAAAGTACACTTGTTACCTCTGAATTGTAGTTGGGTAGAAGTAGAAATATTGAAATACTCAAGTACAGGCAGATCCGGCGTCGTGGGAGATCTTACATTGTGATGTAATATAAGAGTAATAAATGAAAAACAGGTATGAAATACTATATGATAGTAAAACAAGAATACAGTTTAAAAGGGGAGTGATTTGTAAAATATCCATAAAGAAATAGTAAATCTGTTTATAGTTCTGTTTCATATGGGTGTTGTTGAGAGATGTATCCATAGAT